CGACGGAGATAGCGCCTGAGCTGCAGTCTAGAAGAACTTGAACTGCTTGGGGCATATCAAGCCAAGCTGCCATGCCAAGAGGAGTTACATCGTTTATCGAGTCTTGAGGGGCATTCAGCGTGAATAATGATATTTCTGGATGCGACACAGCCATGCGGAGGACCTGAAGACGGTCCTCGGACAAAAACGACGCGTCAGACGCGTCGATAGTCTCCCACCTGAGCACGCACAGTGAGATTCAGTAAGTTTTCAACACGTTAGAGAATGACTCACCTGTCGGCTGTGAGAGCACATGTTAGAATAGTTCTACCAGAGTTGTCAGACGCGTTAATGTCAGCTCCAGACTGGAGTGCATCGCGCACTGCGGCAGCAGAGCCCTCTGAGGCAGCCTGTAGCAAAGCAAAGTTTTCAAAAGAGCGTTGTACACGACTTATCATGGTGTTATAGTCGTCAGTCGTAAATAGCGCGCAGCGAGTGTGAGAGGGAATGAGTTATGGGCGTTGGTCGTAGGGCGGATGAGTCGGTGAATGGAAGAAGAAGAGTTGATTTTGTGCAGTTGAAGGATGGATTTGAGTTTTGTATACGTACAGATAATGACTTCAAATGGGGCACAACGAGGCAAAAAGTCGGTCTTCTCAGTCTTCTTCTCATTGATGTTCTGATGAGCCTCATAGTTGCAGGCGCCCTCGAGCCGGCTTGTCCGACCGGCCTCGAGGCGATCACGTAAAATAAAATAAAACATAATGGTAAAAACAAACAATGCGCCTCCCATCGCTCTTTTCTTCGCTTCCTATTGTCCCGGGTTCATCTATATAGTATAAATCCAGTAGCAATACATGTAGCATTCAACCGTTTGAGTCGATCTGTCACTCACTCTAACCTTCAGGGTAGTAGTCTCGACGACAAAAACTTAAAATCACCCAACCCGTCATAAGTATGCAGGGCGGTGGCGAATCTGCTGGGAAATCATATAGTAATTCATGATAAAACTATCCCCAGAAGCAAAGACATATTATGAGTTCATTGTGTGCAACAAACCGAAATACTTCGTGATATGATAGTAATATGATAATGAAAACGTTACATTGAAACTGATACGATGATGCATGAAGTACTTTCAGCTTGCCAAATGTATATAGAGTAGTCATGGGGTAGCGATCAGTATCCCTGACCTAAAGTCCATGACCGACATCCGCGAATTCCTCGTAATCGAATCGAACATTCTAATAATAAGTGTGAACCGATTGTAAGAAGGGAGTTCGCCGTATTAAAATTCATGGCATCACAGAAATGCATCCCGTGACAACGCCCCCTGGACAAACAGTGGTAAGTAAAGGCTTCACTGGAAACACTCTAGACAGACACCCCACTCACCTTGACTTGCTCAAAGTTTGCGATCGCACGGTCGAAAACCCACGCGTTATTCTCGAGGCAATCTACGGCGTACTTGGCATTAAGACCCGTCCGCTCGCAGATCTGCATGATCAGATTACGCTGTGGTTCAGACTAACCAAGTCAATGGTGCGGAGATGAAGACGTAAGTGAAAGTGCATGGACAACGGAAGCGAACACTTACAAATGTTGATATGGTGTGTTCTAGCTGCACACGCGCGCCGGCTGGGATCAATGAAGATGATGATGCGATGGATCCCGTTGGTTTTTGTTGTATCGGAATAACATCCCCAGCTTGCACACGCATCGGTCCTGGATGCCATGCATCGTGGGTCGAGTATGCTCGTACAGACCACTGGTCTGACAGGACCATAACGTCCCAGCCATTTAATTTAGCCCTGTCAGATTAGTCATTGTGTCAATGGCAAATGCCGAGCGCACACGATGAAAAGGCGGCTTACCGAGAACCTGGGGGTGCGGGAGCCAGGACAAACGCCCTGTCGAATGACCGAATACCCTGCGAAGGTTCTGCAAGAAAGGAAAAAGTCAGCTGTGAACACAATGACGTGGGATCGAGGAAGAGAGAATTCGAAGACGCGAAGGTCACTGCATCGCAACCAAGGCAATAGAGCATAGGGATGTCCAGGCCAGCCAAAAACTTCCGCGTGAATCGCGGGTACATACCTTCTATGAATTGCCCATGTAGGGAAATGAACAGTTTTAAGTTCTCGCCCTGACCCACAGGCCATGCATCGATGCAGAACTTCTCTGGTGAACCAGATACGTCATGTTTCGTTTTTGGTAGTGTCGACATGGCTCGAATAGCCTCTTCGCTACCTAGGTGGAGGCTGTTAATGACTTTGTCACCGCCACCTCCCATGCGATTAAGATTTCGGGAGCCATTGTTGAGCCAGAGACCCCAATCAAGCTTGCGCTGATTGGGCATCTCTTTAGATACGTGAAGGCCCTGTATACGTGCGCGAGATGGAATAGCTGTATTACATGAGAACGAGAAAGTTGCTGAAGGGTGGTATGCATCGAGAAGGGTAGCTCGTTGATCATCAAACAACGGGAAGAACCTAATAATTTTTTATCAGCAAAGATACGAGATATAAGATAAGATGACGCACCGAACGAGGAAATTGCTGACAATCGAGTCTTCAACACCCGTGATAAATGATGGCCGCATTTCATATGGAAATGTGGTTGCAGTAGCCCGTTTTTCTGTTACGACAGTAGACGAAGGTCCGGGAGCGTCGAATGCTATAGTAGCAATGGCCTCCTGATCCAGCATTATCAATGACGTGAAACGCCGTGCCATATCACTGAATGTCGTTAATTAAATGACCCTGATGACCTCCTGTCAACGTACCTCTTGTACTTATCTCCCCTTCCATTCTGAATCTCCAGTTCTCTTAATGGATTTCCGAGGAGTATGAGTTCTCGCAAATGCTCGAGCTTCCCTTTCCGCCCGGAGATAAAATCGATATCTCGCCAAACCTTGAGGTTATTATTTTGCAGTGATAGATTGGCGAGTTTAGGAAGATAGTGCGCTAGCGTTGAAAGGAGCTGACCGGAGCTGATGTTGTTATTTGCGAGAGACAGCGTTTGGACCTATCGGTTAAAGCATGAAACTCTACCAGAGTCTGGAAACAGAGGTTCGACTTACAGCTGGTCTCAGGTGCGAGGCTAACTTGAACAAAACCGAGGCCTCTCTTACTGAGGAAGCAGGGGCGCCTGGTGGCAACAAGTTGTGTTTCTGAATCTCTGGATCGTCCATCATACTCTGCCCATGATATCAACCACTAAGATTCCAGCACTACGTATGTGTCTACTCACCTCTAGGTTCAAGAACCTCGATTCGGGATTCCACCGTCTGTTCACAAAATCTTTCCACACTTCTACTGCTTTCACTGGTGTGTGCGCCTTGCTAGGCGCTACACCTGCAACTGCCGCTGTAACGGCGTTCCTGCGAAGCCGCCCCACCGTCGAAGCGCCGCGGATCGTGAGAATATCTGACGCGCCGCCTGGTTGTGTCCGTGCAGCGAGCTGTCCATGTGCGAGCGGCGGTGGGTGCCAGACATTTGTAAGCGAGAGTTTTACACAAAAAGGAGACGAAGAACGGATGTAGATAGACAAGACAATGGGAAAGGCAAGGGGTGATATACGACGGCGATAGATACAGCGACGTACAAAAATCCCAAGTCATAGACATGAAAACATTCAAAGGGAGATCAACTAAGCTAAGAAATGCGAACGGGGAAAGGTCTCATATTTACCATGCTAGCTCGACCAGGGCCGTGAGGCTCCTTGTAGGCATCAATCGGACGTGTGCGGTGTGTGCGGATCTTCGAGGCGCCCTTGCGACCACCAGGTTTGTCCACTGTGGCATCTCGCATGCGCGTGTCGCTGTCGATGAGGCCAGCGCCCTTCAGCGTGGTGGTTGCGAGCGTACGGCTCGATGTCGGGCTTGAGAACATGATCACGTTCGTTGACAACACAAAGAATTATTGTTTGTATAAAGTTGTCTGTGCAAGTGCTGGTACTGGGGATGGTGGTGATGGTTCAGGAGTAAGAGGCGGCGGCTGGACTCTGCTGTGGCCAGTTGAATCAAAAACGGAAGGTAGGCGAGCGCTTCCGACCAAGAGGTGACAAGGCTGACTCAGCACCGTGAGTGCGCTTTATTTAGTTGATGACTCCACTAGGTCACGGTGCCTAGACTCCCGACAAAACCATACTGGTATTTAACATCGATCGTGAACCATCCAGGGTCATTGAACAACTTGAAGGTTCTTAAACCTTACGCGTTAAACTTCACCTCCGTATATCTACAACCTGAGGGCCCCGGCTGATGGGTTCTTGCTATCATAGCACAGGATACCGGCGAACCATCCTTCCTGGACCAATGGGACTGCGTAGTGCACGGGAAACAGTCTATGGTGAAGGGTTCCTTCAATTCTTATGCGCGTTGTGCTCATAGTTTGAGTTTAAATTGTATCGTGCAAGTCACGTTGAATCAACATATCCCTGCCGCTTATTTCAAATGGTGTCGCGGCAGCTGGACTGGTTTCTGTGCGATCAACGTACACAAACAGGGTGAAAGTGCTGGGATTGATATGGAAATTGCCGGTGGTATCTTGACTGGCATGGCCACAAACACCACGATGTTTGCTGTATGGGCCGGTGTCAGTGAGCTGGCCACCGTCCAATAATAAAGCACCCGTTGATCAACTTCTATCGATTGTTGCGGAACAGGCATTGTTCTACGAGGAATTTCAACACATCAATACAGGAATCCATGAAACGCGTCAACGGGTGCCATACCTTCTAGCAAATTAAGGCTGTTGTGTTATTTCGCTTGTTCCTGTTCAATCGCCGCTCAGGGTGGTTCAACTCAGGTGCTTCGGCGACTATGCAACCAATCGGGGTGCACCTTTCCATCTGTCGTCATCAAGTCCTTCAATTTGAACTGCGTAGGGACGCGATCAGCTAATCGTCCACAGGCCCGGCCGATGCTCGACGAATACTTCGCTCCTAATTAATGCATGCTGGCGTCTAGTTCTGCGACATTTCTGGCTTCTCCTTCCTAGCTACTACCCGTCGTCGTCGTCACGGGGTAACCACGGAACAGGATGCAGGGTAGTGTTTGCAGGCGCCATGACAGATACCTTCATACGCTACCCCAGAAAGTTTCTGCCTCTATCTGACTCTTGTTCTATAGTGATCCATATGGTTTTCAAATTAATATCCGCAGCCCACGTCAAACAGCGGAAATGACATCGCACAATACCACCGGAATTCGTTGCATGAATGTGCTTTCATGCTATAGCAGATCGGTCTGATAGGCCAGGTATGTTTACCGCTTTGAACGGACTGGCATTGCATGGCCTTGTGATCATCTGCGTTTCTGCGTTTGCCAATTGCGGCTTGGCCTTCTGGCATAAAGTATATAACTCCAAGAATAAAGTCTTCTCATTAACTAGTGATTGATTCTCTTCTCATCATGTCGCTAGATCATTCTCTACCAGTGCAAGGCCACCTGTTTGATATTCCCACTGTCAGTCTTCTTTCCTGATCGTCATACTACCTATCGCTGACGTTAATGTGGTGTTCCACAGGACTTTCACAATGATCCCACTGTGCACGCAAGCCCTGACCACACCATCTGTCTGTGGGACGTCGGCGGGGGCATACCATGCGGCGTGTGCATCAACGTCTTGGATCTTTCAAAACACGTACGCATGCATGGAGTGAAAGGGCCTGGGGATTTGGAGATACAGTGTACATGGGATGGCTGCGCAAGATCCCCCATGAAACGGGAGAGCATCGTTCGGCACATCGAGGAAGTGCATGTACAAGTCAAATACCGATGCAGCCAGTGTTGGGCTTCTTTCTCTCGTAAACATACGCTTAGATCCCATATCTTCAAGGCTCATTCGCACGTATCTTAGTACATTTTCCTGGTTCTTTGCACATTCATTTCTGTAAATATCTCCTACACCTTAGTTGTTGTAAAACCCTCGCTCAGGATATTCTACCATTCCTAGTAATCCGTAATATATTCTATTTGGATTCGTAGATTCGTACCCATCTACTTGAATAGCATCCTAATATTTTCATAATGTTTGAACTTTGATGTGCCTGCTAATCCGAAATGTCAATGCTATGCTCATGGTCAACTCAGTGGTCATTATCAAGCGCTAAATGGTCCCGAACCGGCGGCCGGTCGTCCTAGTAAAATATCTGAGAGGCTGTAGGCGAAACCTTTAGAATATCTCTGGAGGTGTGTCACTGTGTGTGTTCCGAGAGTCTATGACCAAGCCGCCGGCCGTTGAAACCGATTGGGATTCTCCTTCAGGCAGAGGATCGTAATCTCACACCACACAGCGAAAAAAAAAATGAGGAGCATAGCCTCGAGCCTGTTCAGAATCGTCCAACCAGTGAACGAGACTCCTCATAACATCCTCCTCAATGTTAATGATGATAAATCCAGGATGACCACGGAGATGGTACTAGTATTATTCGGAGTCCCGAGGCCTTAACAGTTTAGGGCAGGCCATATATACATATTAAAGCCTCCAAGGTCCTGCCAGCAGCGGCGCCTTGACCCTATGCTTGGACTGCAACCATCAACATGGAAGTGTTTGAAGCATATGAAACAGAGTACTAGTGTGCGTGTTCGAGGTTTAGCATATTACTACTTTTTTAAAAACAAATCAAAGTTTATTGTCTTTGTGGTAAGCCCCTTAATCACAGGGAGCTTACAGTTTACTCCTGCCTGTATGAATGTACTGGCCATATTACTTGCATATTTTATTTGCTCGAACTTATTCCCAATAATACAAAGTCCGCGAGCCCTGCGCGGTCGCAACAAAATGATTTTACGATAATTCTAGACAGGTGAATACAGGGTCTGCAAAAAGCACAACACATCGACCGACCATATACGCGATATCTACACGTAGAAAACTAGTGTCTGCACTGGGCTGCATCGGTATCAAAAAGTAAGATAGCAAATTATTGAGCAAAGGACTCCCGACCAAGTGATAAAATCAGTAAAAACATGTCAATTAACCATCTCGGCGCCCTCCGTTCGGCTGATACATGAACTGATGTGTCGATCCTGAAGATGCAGGTTTCATCACAGGTGCTGGTCGTGTGCGATAGTAATTTCCGCTTCCCGGGCGATCTATCGGGTTCGTCGAGGTGGATATAACAGGTGAGGTTGTAGCAGCAACTGTCGGCATTGGATATGGGAGAGTACGTGTTGGCGGCTGTTGGTGTAGTAGTGGCTGCTGCTGTTGCTGCTGCGTTTGTGCGTGTCGAATTGCTGGAGAAGGTTGAGTGGACCCTGGTGCTGGTGTTGAAGGTGTTGGAGAAGCAGATGCTCCCTGTGCGGATTGAGAAGCAGACGTGGGAACGGTATTCGGGACTGGAGTCTGATGGGGAGCATCTGTACTTGTTGGTGTGGGAGCTGTAGGTGGAGGGCGCTCAAGTTGGCCATCCGTCTCCCGTTTTCGTTTCGTTCCTCGTGACGAGGACTCTTTCAACCCTAGCGAGGTTGCTTTTATCAATATTTGGTGTCTATCAGGCCGAGTGATAAGCCCCTGAAAGAACTGATGCGACATGGAAAAATATTTACCTCGTGCGAGAGTTGCCCCATTTTTCGCATAGGGCATCCCATATAATTTCCCCGCTAGCGTTACGGTGCTCCTCAGCAAGCTTCTTTAGCCTTTCCGTTTCTTCTTCGGACCAGGCACCCTGGTTTCCACCACTTCCCGCAGCACCTCCTGTGCTTCCACTCGCAGAACCTGTCGCAGGTGTTGGGCTTGGCCCAGGTGGAGGTGCAGGAGGATAGTAACCCCCGTATCCGCCATAGCCATAGTATGGTGCAGTGGGGTATGCTGGAGCGCCGTATGGGTATGCTTGCTGATGACCCAGTGAAACAACAAATGATTGCGGATCCGAAATTACTGGCGCTGTAGTGATGGGGGATTTGCCGTTTGTAGAGGATGTGGATGGCCCAGGTTGGGGTTGGGGTGGTGGTGGTGGCGGCGGTGGCGGGATGGGAGCTGGGTAACCAGGTACAAAGTATGGTGCAGGTGGCGGGTGTGTAGTTAATCGAGAGGGAGATGCCAACTTTGAGAAATAAGGACAGGACAGACTTGACAACCAAAATTATGTGACTCACAAGGGTATCGCATATTCTTTTCGCTTCACCAAGCATGGCCAAGGGATCTACTTTAACGCCAGGGCCCATCTGGTAACATTGTGCAATAACAAGGGAGGGTGTAGCTTTCTGGGCGAAGTTATTTCAACACCTCAAAATCACGCAGCGGACGCTTACAACAAGCTCTTCAGCCGCTCCATAGAACTCTGCACATAAGTTTAGCACACGCCACTGAAACTCATAATACTGCTGATTGTGTGGTTGTATCTCTCCTGGAGTAGGAGAGGCGGTATACTGGTAGAACCCGTGTTGTGGTGGGGATGCCTTTGTAGCAGAATTAGCTGGCTCCTTCAAGTCAGTAGCTGACGCCCGTGACCGTCTGTTTTTTGATCCACGGGGCCGACCAGGACGCCTTTTGCGTTCTGAGTCTTGTGGCGGGTCGGGTTGTGTTGTACCTGCACGCTTTCCAGCTGCAGTTGTACTTGATTGATGTTGTGTAGATCTAGACATGACGAGCACATACAATATGAGTATTTACGAATACTTGCAATCAGACGCGCGTCATCATAACACTTTACAGTAATTACGCACCCAACGCCAACCTCGTGATCGTCGTCTTCACGATCAAGTTGCTCTTCGACGACACCCTCGTCTTCATTCTCTTCCTCTTCTTCCTCCTCCTCGTACGTAGGCACTACGGGAGGATGAAGTGCATGGGAAAGCGGTTGGTAGTGCTGTGGATTGTCCATGCACACGCTCCGGGTATGTGATACAGGGATAGATAGGAATAAAGAATAGCAAAGTTTCGCCTGTTTATTTTTTTTGAATATCTCGGGGTGGTTGTAATCCTGTCTGGCGTTGGGGTTATGTCGTCGCCGTGTGAATAATAAATCATCAGATTATTCCCATGTATACATCTATTTGGCACAGGTTTATTTCTTTCTGCCGCGACGGCACAACATCAACCTAGAGGGTCCTAGGCTCGTCGTCAGCGCTTCATCGTGTTTCACGACTAGTAATCGAATCACTAAGGCCCTGACACTGGGGTCTAGCTCCAAGCTCCACGCGCACGTTTTAGGTCTGGGTGCCAGTCCTCCAGCGCCAGCGTCAGGAAAATCGTCGTCATCTTATTTTGGAGCAGTACATATATTCGGAAACTCGAAATATCAATTCTCGACACACTACATATCCTCCGCACAAAGTGCGGACATCACACAATCGCTAAAGATAACCGGAGCGCTCTTAACAATTTTAAATATTTGAAACGTCGCCCTGTGAACGAATCAGAGCGCTAAAAGACGTCTCGGGACTGTGATCGGTTCCCTGGCAGTACTTACTGATATGGGCTATCAAATATCGCAACAAGGCTGTGAGTGTGTTCATCTGATGGTATCAAATTGTGGATGTCATTCCTGCAGCAATTCGATACCATGGAGTCAACTGCAACTGCGTTGTACTTGAACAAGAGCGCCAAAGGTACGTAAAAGCGCGGAGATAACCCTGGCGGCAATCAACACAGGAACCATTATTTTTTCCACACATTTCGCATGGCAAATGCGAGGAACAATTGACCACCTATCGCAACCCCCACCGAGCTTACTGTCATCACGCTAGCTTCTGTTCTCGAATTTCGCCAATCCAATGAGACCGTTTCTTGCTATTTTACGAAAGGCAATATCGCAACGTATGACCGTCACAGATATGCATCAAACTGTTTCATTTGCAGTCTGCGCTTCATGGCATCAAATTAGACTTGTAGCCTGACTTGTGATACCATGGACAAGTCGAGTTTGACTACGTCGGCACTCTTCTCTTTCCAAGACGTATGCGGACTGGTTACAAGTCTAATGAAGTCTATCAATACCATCTCATGCGCGTAGCTCCTCATCACACCCCCTGTATCTAGACATAACGCGCAAGACATCACTCATCTCCTACATGAGATCACTGTCATCCTTATGACCACTCCACTTTGGACTGACAACTGATGTGTCAGAACAAGGGGTGACCAGGCAGATGTACCCTTACATTCCGTCGCACACTTCTATGATGCGCTGACCGTAGAAAATATGGCAACTGGGTTGAAACTCAAGAGGGACTCCACCGTAAAGGCCTGGAGGATGGATATCTTCGTGTTGCGGATCGTGGAGCCCTTTACCTGTTTCTACCGCCTTTCCATCTTTTGCGTCAGTACTGTTCAAGCGTGCTTTGATAGGGGGAAATTTGAAGCCACTTGGGTATGCAAGCACCGTGCGCCTCCCCTCGTCAAAAAGTGGGGCCCGACAGATCTCGCAGGAGACTTTGCACGGGACATGATGACAGGCCTTTTTCGTCGTGGTAGAAAAGAAGTGGAGAGCATCACTAGTATTCTGCAGAATGCGAACACTTGTCTTTGGAAAGATGACCGCCCACTGAAAGGGGGCACCGTGCAGCTGTTGGCATTGTCTGCAGTGGCAATACTTCGCATCGAATGGGTCGCCCGCAAAGGCAAACCGCACCGCGCCGCACCAGCAGGACGACTCATATTTTGTCTTGAAGAGCTCCTCGCCGCCTACACTACGCGCTGGCAACCAGTTGTATGGTGGCTTTGACATCCAAACTTTCTCAGAATCACCGCTGTCGAATGAGGGGATAGGAGGAGAGCCGCGCCAGCCGGTATCAGGAATAGGCTTCTTGTCATCCGAGCGGTCAGGATGATGATGGAAGCAAGAATAAGGCCTGGTCTTTGTTTGTGATTCTGGATGCATCGATGAAGGTTGATCGTGAACGACATCGTAACATTTTGCTCACTTTAAAAGCTCCGAAGTGATGTCACCTGATTTTGCTTCCGTTTACATAAGCTTATGTGAGCGTAGATGGCCAAATATAAAATTCTCAAACAAACTCTCAGTGACCCTCAAAATGCACAGGCATACCCATCGCAGTGAGTGCTTATGTGCAGCAAGTAGGCTTGGCCTGCATCTTCGTTCCTAAAGCTGAAGACAGGCTTTCGATCTCTGGTGCTGTAGGCTTCTTTTCAACCACTCTTGAGCTTGTCCTCTCGAAATGCGAATCACCACCCGTGTTAATTGCTTTCTTGGCCAGGAAGCTGCCAAGCCTCAATGACCACACGACGAGGGTATCCCTCAGGAGGACCTGTCTTGGAGCCAAGCGTGGCAGCTGAAGAAATGTAGGTTATAAATGAACATAAGTTTACCGGCGCATGGATGGCGCATTGACAAGCCAGCTGTATATTTGACATTGGATTGCCCGTTTATATCGTAAGCGTGTTTCTTCCTTCAGGTTATGTCATTTGACGTACTCACAACAGTCAGACATGGTTCCTGCATCAGCTCACCCTGCAACGATTTTATTTCCCTCACTTGATTGCAGGCTCTCTCTCACCCAAAGCCGCAGGGGACAGGCAGAAATATATGACACAGCGAAAAAAAAATCTTTCATTTCCAGGGGAGTATGGAGCTGGAGTCGTCATTCGATATCTTCCTGTTACGAGTTAGGCTCATACATCGTGTGCTATGTGGGCGAACTCGGCGTTTGGACTGGGATACCGTATTATTTGGCGCACTACCTGTTCTGCAGCAGTTGCAGCCGCTGCAAACCCTCATGTTCTACATCGACACGCGAGTTGAAATTAAATTGTCTGACCAGCATGATTTATCATATCATGAATTTTAAAATTGCTTTGCAGGTGTTAGGCATTCCTCTCAAGAAAACAGTTTGGCAATAATAAGAATAGCAGGCGTATAAGGGGTGAGTCTTCGAGTATAGACCTTTGCCTTTTATATTGCGGCGGAAAGCCTTGCCTGCGGATGGTCCATTGGCGACGGGGTGCATACCGTTGGCGTCGGGGGTATGTACTGATATCCGTTGGCATTGAGAAGTTCATTATAGGATTTCTTGCTGGTTCTCGATGCATTCCTTTCTTCCTCCCGTTGGAATCGAATATGTGGCTGCCGGTCCCGATTCGTTTGCTCCCGCTGGCATTGGGATCTGTGGCTGGCAGACTGCCGGTTCCGAGAATCCGGTCCCGTTGGGTTGGTGTGTCGAAGCACTTTCTGGTCTTTCGAAGTCGTGCTGTCAGTTGGGCAAGTGGCCGGATTAGCAACTAGCATGTCACCTTAGACTTGCACACAAGCCGAGAAGTCATTGTGCTGTCGATTACAAGTCTTGCTAGCACTTGCGAGAATTTGAATAAGTTGCTCATCCGTCAGATGATCATCGGTTCCAAGAGGGCGTTAATTACCAAGCGCCCATAGAATTCAGATCCTCATCTTTGTGCTCCGCGTCCGTTGGGTATGGCTCTTTCTTCGCCGTCGGTACTTCCACAAGCGACGGTTCTGATTCCAGTCACCTCCGTCGGATGTACCGCTCTTCTATGAATTGTGATTTGCAAACGATGGTGCTTGTTTCAACCCCATGATCTGTTCTGCGCACGCGACTTTCATCCAAGATCTCCAATCGTCGCATTCGCTCCCAACCACTACTGACGAGATCTTTGTTTCATCAGAACCGTGCCAGTATTTTCCCCTAGAGAGGGCGTAAGTAGAATGTGAGATGATGGGTTTCGGGATCATGATGTCGTTTGCGATTCACGCACGTTTCTTATCTTGGCAACAATGAGCTGCATCGATTTCTAGTTTCCCGTTGCGCATATAGGATTTTTTGGACACAGTCGACTCCTAGTATTTCGGTACCGGCGTTGATGGCTTTTCTTGGAAATAGATCATTTAGCATGTGAGGCATAAGTAGGTAGTAGTACATCAGGTTACAGAGACCAGTGTTGAAATTGCGTACACGTTCCAAAAATAGCCAACAACTATGGCCTACAAACCATTAACCCCTCCTCGTACAGGCCCACCATGTACAGTGAGCCGGTCCTCGAATCCCTGAGTGTCGTGCAAGATGTCCCAAATACACTTCCGTCGCTCTGGAACAGTGTTTCTACTTCCCATCCTTCACTAGCGGGAACAACTTCTGATACCGACAACGGCGCACGTAAATCGTATTTTCTGTCTGCTGCATGTGCGCTCTTTGCGAAATGCGTTTTGTTTGAAAGGGGAGTGAGCGAGACGGCCCAGCTTGGCGCGCGCGCATCTGTTTTGTTGGCAGCAACGGCAATGAGAGATGGGAAATGTGGATGCCCTGTGACGATGAGTGCGCCCTCCTCGTCAAACATGATGTTGTCGTTGAAGAAGGGGAGGCTAACGGTCTCCCTGTATTTGAGTGCATTTGTGGTCGTGTTGCGGTCGTAAAAGTAGACTTGACCGAGAGAAGTAGAGGATAGTGCGAGAGTCGTGCCCTCTGGGGAGATGGCGACGCCATTGGCGAAGGCCACACCGAGAGCGGCTATTTCGTGCGTGATTGTGCCATCAGGGTTGACTGTGACATGTGCAAGCCAGCTTAGGGGCAGTCCAGCAATACTCTCAACCAGCGGCAGGGCGGGTGCAAGGGGGAAAGGAAGGCGACGAGTCATGAGATGGTCATTGCTGACGTAGAATGACGTCTCGCTCGTTAGGGCCAAGGCATTAGGAGACACAAACCAAGGCGATGAAAGTGTGCGTTTCCAGAGTGCCTGTGTTGGAGTATCTGGGGAAATGGTGAAATGTTCAACTGTTGTCTCTTCGCGTGCGTGATTGACTACATAGAGAACAGATGGGGCCCCATCCTGAGAGGGTGTGACTTCCATCCCGAGTGGGTGGAAGTTATGTCCTTCCGGGTATCCATCCAACTCAATACGCTGTAGGCTATTGTCTACTGTATCAACCAGCCAAAGGTAGGCCCTTGGTTCGGGATTGCGCAGGGGACCCATGACTGTGTTCCATGCCTTGCGGTTAGGGTCGCATCCCGCAATAATGAAACGGGCAGTTACAGTGCCACCTGCGTCCAGGTGGTCCCAGAAAGTCATGTCTTCGCAGTAATCAAGGGTGTGGGCTGGCTCTTGAAGAATTGTGCAGTGCGTCTGGACATCGCCATTGACATAGTATGATGAGGGTAGTGCAGGAAGAGTGAAGACGCCATGTTTAACAAGACGACCACTCCGATAGATGAATGTTGCCTGTAAAAAATGAGACACGATCTCATTGCTTGGACTGAACACATACTAATAATACAGCAAGGACTGTCAATACTCGGGAGAGCATGACTGGCGTTTATACTAAACCGAACTTAACATCATGCTTCATCCGCATGCTCACCCGAACTAGCTTAGCAGACTTACTTACCTATATGCAAATAGAGCACCAACGAGATACGGAATGATGGAGAAGAGAACAAAGTAGTGCTACGGCAGCGGGCGACGTCGGCAAGAGAGTTTAACCAAAGTCCCAGCCTAGTAGTAGGGACGTATACACTTGTTTGTGTTGGATCATGTTTTTTTTTTTCCACTGAGGTCATCTCCTTCCGAGTCTCGGTCAGGTCAACCCAGGTGGAAATGACGTGGCGTCGATGCAGCGCTCATGCACAAATCACAGCACAGGATCGGCCGCTACAGTATTGTCGCTCGCAAACACGGATTCAAATTATGCCTGAGTCATCTTGCGTCGATTCATGCTGCATCCTGGGCAGCCATATTCTGGATGATACCCCCTCGTCTACACATTCTCAAGTTATTCGCTTTCTCATCCAGAACTCCAGTTCAGATTTCGTCTACAAGCCTCTCGCTGACCATGACCTTGACAGCATGCGATGACCTTCATCTTACCGTAAAATCTCGCATCCGACTCGGGCTCCGTAGGGACGCTCCTGCTCGCTCAGCAGCCGGCCGTACTAGTCCGAGCCCAATATGAAACTTTAGTAACGGGTATTGCGCAGTCAGAAGGTCCAGGTTACCGTGACTGTGCCGTGATCTAATCACTTTGCCAAGAGGTAACTTTGGCCCATTGATGGTAGCAGCGCTTCAATTGAACTGCAGGCCATCCGCAAAAATGGAAGCCAAGGGACTTGATGGCTGGTTCCGTCTGTCATGTCTTTATCTTACCTGCTTTTTCGCATTCTTTGGCTCACTATTTCATTTGTATCATATATTGTAAGTCGCAGTACGTATTGGTGTGCGATTTTATGATCCCCATTTGCACTTGTTCGAAGTGCCGGTCAAACGCACCGTTTTTCGACGAGGTGTCGAGTAAGAATGTCAAGAATACCTGAAACTTCCAAGTACCGTAATAATTAAAATCCACGCTAAGAGCTCACCGCATTGCTTCCCACAGCATATGGAATCCCCAGTATTCTCAGTGCTCACTATGTATTTTGACAGCGAACATACACCCTAACGTTGTAATCTTCTGTTTGCCCACGTGAAAACAAGTGTCGGTGGCAAGAGTTCTTGTTATCCAATGTAGTTCTGACGTGTTTCGTGCTCTGCAGACATGGCCAGTTACGTAGGATTTACGGTGGCTCACATTTGTACTCCGAGTGATTGCAGCCGCCACACACTTACTAGGTCTAGGCACTCGTAAGTATACCCCGCGGACGCGAAACTAGTAGGTTTGCTAGGTCAATATCTAGTATATTTCTTACAAACAACTTGATCTGGCACATGAACGCATGACGTTTCCATATCTTGGGTACGAAATACCAAGTCCGTCACATAACGCTGCTTCATCTGATTATCCTAGACTCATCTCCAGAACCACTCGATCAATATCGTCAAGACAAGGCGACCCTGGCACTGACAGGGACCCCTTTTTTATGTCCGACTCAGCCTGTTTATTGGGAGCCTTCTCAATAGCGCGGTAAATGTGGGACCTAGGTGCGCATCCTGGAATGTTTGATGCGTAGAACACGTAGCGCCGAGCTTATTTTGTACCAGATGGTGGGGTTGAAGGATCTGGCCAATTGGAGAAGGAAGCGATCATTTTGTACGTGCAAATGAAACCTATCAAGGAATGGTCAGTGCCCGGGGGGTCGGGGAGTTGTCACTGGCAAATTAGTATTTACGGATCGCCTATCATTGGTTCGTGTGGGAACATGAGGGTAACGGCCTCGCAGATTTCCGTATATCATCTCTTATATCGATCAGCTATAGCGATGTTGATTTCGTCGGCATACATTTTATGAGTTCTTCGTGGCAAGAGACTCAAGCTGACACGCTCCCAGGCTTAAACGTGAGTGCAAGTCCTACTATCCAGTTCAAATCGCTGACGGGCCCTCATCTCAGTACATATATGGTGCAGTCGTTTTCTATGATCAGTCTTTCGACTTGAATGGTTGATCCCTTCATGTCATTTTCCCCGATAGTTGCACTCATAACGCTTTGGGTGAGCTATGCTAGTAGAAGTGACTACGTCATCGGCAGAAACTTATGTTTTCTTTGAACATCAAGGTGTATGACTACATACTGTGCCTGCCCGATACGGCAAGTACAAATTTTGAGCGTCCGAGAGTGTTCTGATTTGTAGTCGATACAGGTCAACTTTCTCGCCGATTCTCGATGGGGGCTCAGCACATTTCTGTATCTAACTTGCAGCCACTTGCCACTTGCCTTCATGTTACTGAATATGCTTGGTAAGTGTTCGGTGCAGAATTTCATTTTTACCTCTCTCATATTGTGATGTTTCACGATCACTTTCAGTGGTTTTTCAGCCTGATGCCCCACTCCATGTATGTGCAACCAAGTCGAAGAGTCGCAGACATTAGAATTCAACCCATCTCAATCATAGCTTTGCCGCTCTTATAATATCGCTAATATTTGTCAGTTTGGTACTACTTCGCCAGACATGTACTGACACCATACTCAATACTTCATCAGATATAGGGATAGTGACGATGACTTGTGCTGAGTGTAGGTCCAGCAATCGTACTATTCAGCAGAGATTCTGCGTTCTAACATTTACACCGAATTCAGGCATCTTCGTGGTCAGGGCATATGCAGTATGGGAACGGGGGAGATGGTTCGGGACGTTGGAGACTTTTGCAGTTGTTGTGAGACCAATATATGAGGCTATGGCCAACTCCAGGTAACGATATCTGATTCGTCTTTTGCAGGCCTATCTAGTGCCAATTACGGTCAGCCTGCAACAATTTAACTCGAAAATCTCAGGTATGTAGATATTCGGGTTGGACTCTTCGCCTGCTTGGTCCCTTACCTATAACATACAGAGCCATGCTGGATCCCTGGCGTTACCGGATATCTGGATACGGAGACAAGCACCAGAATATATGTAGCATTTGGCTTGCTGGCTATGGCTGAGCTGCGTTCGTATTGAGAGCTGCTGCTAACATGAGCTTGAACTGACTGCGTGCCTTTGCATGCACATAATTTCAGAAACATTGTTACTTCTGTGGTATCGCGTCATCAAAGGTCTTGGTGGCTGGGGCATGGACAACCGCCTTATGCGTGGTCTCATGAAAGATAATCTGCTGTACTGTAGCTGCGGCCTTGGTTGGTGGTTATAAACGATCTGATATATTTACTTGCTAAATCTTCCAGTTTTTTCTGTCAGCGTCATTCTCAGCACAGTTTTCTTTCCAGTGAGTGAACGCATGCATTCGAAGTCACCCCATTAACAAGAGACGTAGTTTACAGTTGGACACATGCTTTTAGAGTTCGTCCATGCTCAATTTGGAGAAAATTATTGTTATTCATTCGACACAGGTTCGAGGTTGTTGTTCAAGCTCTCTTGGTCACGCGAATGCACAGGAACTTTTGGAAATCGAACCGTGCCTTTGGCAATATTCCCACAGATATCTCCCTCACAACATGGATGATGGGAGCTTTAAATTTTGCGTGACGGTGTGTTCCATCCGTCAAATCATCATGATCGTGTAGCTGACACCAAAGCGATGAAGAGACAAATTTGCTTTGAAGCGTACCTGTACAAATTATAGATGTGACCATTGCGCAGGCTCTTATACGAGTGAAGGCCAAAAATGGACGGACAATATCTATGAAAAAGAAGTCGAGTCGTACTGCAACATGTGACATATATAGATGTTTTTGTTATATTCATGAGACTGCAATGCCTCATACCAGGTCTGGTGCGGTCATGGCGTAGTGGCCAGAGTCCTGACTCACAGGTATGTAGTCCGCTGGTCGTAGTCCGTCCTCGAGAGATAAAACTACCAACCACCACCTCCCACCTTGAGAGGTTTGGCCTTGAGTTTCCCCTCCACAAGTCATTGACCGTCAATCTTGACTATGAAGAATGCAATAATAATACACGAGCGCCAGACATGCACCCATTTGCAGAATATTATGCACCTTTTTAATGACATCTATTTCATGAGACAGTTTTTCATTATCCTTCGCCACGGCCCAAGTGTATTATATGTTGAGCCTTTAGACAAACGAGAATGTCAATAGTTTTGGGAGATGCCCTATAGTTGTTCCTTGAGAACCAATAAGATGATGAGCAGGCGTGAGAAAATTATCCTTGATGATTCTAAATCGACCTTCTCGATGCTGCAGCGCTGAGTCCTGACTCCCTTTGCGTAGTATCATCACGCTTTGACTCAGGCAAACGTGGGTGGCACATTAATATTGTGTATGGATGGGCGTACAATACCCGCGTAGGATCTAGAAAGGGATCACCATTCTCTACACCCTCACCGTAGTCACGTCATAGGTCAAATCCCTAAATGGTCCACTTCGGTCAGTCCACTACGGCTATGTAGTGTTTCGATTGTACGCTGCACCACCCACATCTCTCAATAGAGACCTTTGCGGATCAAAAGGCTCAACAATGGTTCCACAGTTTCGTTTCCTATATATTCAGCTCACTCGCGCTCATTTCTGTCTGTCAGAGCTTTACTTTCTCCAAATCACTGGACTCCCTATCTTTGCTCGTATCATAGACTTGCATTGGTGCGCACTTTTGCTCTTAAGACTGGTGCCAATCTAACCTATGACCTTCATAGCATCATGTGTAAATTTGTAGTGCCCATTCGTACTTGCTCAAAGTGCCACCAAAACGAACCACTTTTCGACGAGAAGGAAAGGCGGCTGTCGCATATCACTGAAAAGAATGAGGTACAACAATCATCTATTCTTGCAAGTCATATGGCTCATTGCGTTCCCGACAGCGAAAGCTAACATACATGGCACCTCCCCAGGACTGCTATTCGCGGCGGTGTGTCTTCAGCAGTGAACACCCTGTCACTTGGCACGCCTGTTGGATCACTTGTAAACAAACGTCAGTGGCAAAATTTCTCTGTCATGTGTAGAAAGTTTGATGTATTTCGTGTTCGTAGACATGGCAAAACACGCAAGATTCGGGGTGGCTCACCTTCATATGTTTGCCACAACTGTGCCTCATGCCCACAGCGGCATAGCTCAAGATAGCCGCCTCGTGGCGTGCTTCGTCGACGGCAAATTGATTGATTGGTTTTCTGGGTTAGCAAATAATATCTGATACATGGTGTTTGTATACATATGCGATACCCACTGCGAAATACCATCCATTTAGCTTTCAGACTCGATTTCACTCAGATCGGCGATGGACCACTTGGCATTGTTTCGGGTGGCTGGTTAGTCTTCAGATCATGACCCTCAACATGGTTTGGTGAATCGTTGCTTTGGACTGCCTCTTAAATATTGTTGACTTGTATGGCACCTAGGTACCCGGGAATGTTTGATGCAGCCAACTAATGAGCACATGTATCTCTTCGGATCTGAGCTTATGCTCCACTTTCTAGCGCCAGGGTCGCATGGTACTGGACAATCAAAGGCATACACATAATTGAAGAACCTTATTGATTATATCATATGCATGAACCCTATCATTGTTTCATGACCGGGATAGTTGCCGGCTGAGCAACGTTCCAAAAATATGGATGATGACACTCCACAGCTCGCAAGATGTGCATGGTTTTCTTGCATATGCCTATGCCTGGGCCGTCGTGCATGGATTGCATAATTCTGTTATATATGGCAAGTGACTCAAGCTGACCTGCTGCCAGCATTGAAATATTGAACTCAAACATGAGTGCAAGTACCGTTATCAAGTCCAGGTCGATCCTGCGATACCACTGATGCGCTTGTCCCAGTACTGTTGCAATTGTTATCCGTTATTAATATCAGTTGCTTTTAGCGGTTAATTTCTCATGCTGCTGACAGTTGCATGTGCTCTAAGGGTCAAAATGAACGACGGACGGACAGATACACGAGTCGGATGAGATAAAGCAAATCAATCAGATCTTTATTATCACAAACGGCTTTAGGGACTCGGAATTCAACAAGATTCTGCCATACCAACAGCGACATTTAATAACCACACGACAGACACCTTGGTAACTTCCATCCGAGCATAACAGACACGATCTGACACATTTCCGCTATGTTACACGAGGCGCTTTGCTGAGAAAAATTGCCCCTTGACAGCGGGGGGAAAAGATATCAGGGGTATTTACGGACTCACCGGAAGACAGGCCAATTGAATTAGGTTGTCTAAGTCTCCCTGAGAGAAATGTAGCGCAAGAGGCACTGAGGCATCCGCAGCACCAACCGTGACTGCAAAAAAATACGATCAAGCGCAAGGTACATCCTTGAATTAATACCCATGTCAATGGCTACGCACCGGCGTTATTGTCATAAAATCAGCCAAGGAGAACTAAGAATGTAGGACGGCTGCGGCATAGGATAGGAGCCGATGGATGTGTTTTCGATAGATCTCGAATCTCAATCAGAAGTCGGAAAGGCCGGACACTCAGGCTCAGGCCTTCTCGCGTTCGGTAGATATCGAACCGAAATTGTTCACATTGCTACATGGCAACCGTACGTTAGCTTTAGGATTAAGAATGGTGTAATTCACAGGCAAGAGATTCTGCACCTGCGCTTCATCACATATGAAGTTGTGCACATGTCGGGGTGCAAATGGTGGAGGCTAATATTCGTGAATCCCCGGAAGCGAACAACAACATGTCACATGTAAACGAAGCGGCCCGCCGTCTGATTCAAAGGACGGCTGCAGGCGGTCCAGGGAGTACGGATTTTGAAGGACTCGGAGAAATCTTATCATCCGATGTACTAGTACTTACTGGCCAAGGCAAGGTTTCAATTTGTACCGGATCTTGCAAAGACGCGCGCAGCCTTTGCTAAATACCCCAAACACACATACCGGCAAACGTGAGTTGTACTTCCACAGCCAAATTGTAACCGAGACGTTTCACGAAAGCGCAGACCCCATTCTTGCCTCCGGTTATCTGCCAATATCATCAGCATACAGTACTACCTAATCGACGTTTAACAATAGAAACGGTCTACATAAGTCAACCGAAAACCCGGAATTGGCTACGAAAAGGTAAATAAATGGACATTATGACGATCCATGATGGGAAAAAATGTGTCGCAGGAGAGCAGACGTACAGGTGTTAGGATAACACCAGAAACGAGAACTGATAATAAGAAAAACAGATAAGACAAGCAGATGTACGTTCAGAATATATTTGGGATGAATGATCTGTGTTCTCGTCAGCAAATAAGGACAAAAGCTAGATGGGTAAACACTTACACTGCACTCATTCCAATCGCGAATGCCGCGACGCCCCATGCAAATGATTTTTGCCTTGGCTCGAGATGGAACCTTCCAACCCGCTTGTTTGTTGCAATTTGCCTTTCTTGCACTTCTGGTTCCTTAAACTGGAACCTAAATTCTGTACTCTCATCTTCATCATCCCTCGCGCGCTTCAATGTGTCGGTCTCCATCAACGGTGTATCTCTCTCCGCCTTCAACCGCTCAATCAACTCCTTCTGCTCGGCTATGTCCTGAGACATATTTGGGTGCGCAATTTGAATCGTCTCCGCCTCGTCTTCCACAACAGTCTCGTCAGACCCCCCCGGAGTAGTAACCTCGATGATTCGCACGGCTCGCGTAGATGACTTGGGCTTGGGAGACTTGCTCGCCGGCGAGATAGGTGCCGGTGACCGACGTACCGGCGAGCGAGGCGCTGGCGATTTGGGCTTGACGGGCGATCTGGCAGGCAGGGAGGCAAGTACTGGTGCTGGACTCTTTGTCCGCGCCGACCGGCGTGGAGGAGGTAAGGTGGAGGGTGCAGGATCTGCGACCGGTACAGGAGAAGATTCCCGCCTGCGTTTGGGGGTCGGAAGTGTGATTGACGGAGCAGGAGTGGGGAGTGTACTACTTGCAGCAGGAGACGATCTTGGCACCGCTTTGGGTGTCGTTTTTGTCGAAGAACGACGGTAGGCTGCAGAGGGGTCGGGGGTGGCTTTGGCGACATGGGGAATGACACCCCCCAAGCCATATGTTTGTGCAAATTCAGGAAGGAGAGCGACCTCGGCGCTGACCCATGTTCCTGCAAGACGCACTATGGTAGGTTCCTTAGCGGAGCCATTGTTCCCAGTGAGATCGTAGGTATCCTTTACCCAGACAGTTTCGCGACGTTCATCGGCTTCAGAGGCTGTGGGGAATGCGGCCCGGAACATAGTAGTCAGACTGATGGCACCCGTATCAAAACGTCTCAATATGAAAGCATGACCGCCAGGCTAGAAAAGATTGATCTATCAACTATTATCAAATTGAACTTAACCGAACGTACTGTAGGAATCTTCATGCGCCCCACCTTAGGAGGGGTCAGCTTGTGATAAGGATGAGATAATCGGCAAACGTACCAAAACCTCATGGCCATCGCGATCCAGCGACTGATATTTAACAGGAGGCAATTTAGAGAGGTCGACTAGGCGAGGGTCAGGATGTAGACAAGCATTTTAGAAAAGGACTTACGAGAAGCGATATGAGGATTCTGGTGTTTGAATGGAAGATCAGGTCGTGGTGGTAATATCGTTGGAGGCATCGTAGATGGTGACAATGTCGAGTATTGACAAGCTAGAAGAGATACAAAGTAAAGACTTGGGAAAACAGAACCGTAGCTGCAAATATAAAACGGTGTCACGTTTAAAACGCGCCGTGCGAAAATCAACACTTACCATGTGGCTGTGTAAACCTCTAGTTTCGCACTCCGCTTTTGTTCTATGCTCTTGTACATGGACCATACAGTGGTTGTGGTCGTGACCATCATCCTGGGACATAATGGTGCTCACACTCTTGTTATCAGCCTGTTCACAATTGTGGTTACGGAATGTTATGATTTTCATCCACAAGACAAATGACCACACCTGGTTACAGGCTTGGGCTGCCTGTAACCACTTGTGCTCATTACACGGTCTCAAATCGTTACCAAGTAGTAAGTACTGACCCGCGGTAAAGTTGGCTTACCTGTACATTGTGTGCCAGAATTTGGACAACGTCGAGGTTGGGTCGTACGCGCCCAATGACGACGATTGAGTGGATAAATGATATCATTCTGCTCGTATCTGTAACTACCAACCATCTATCAATAAACCGGAAAGCGAATATAAACACCTATATACGTATACAAAGATAACACATACGACACACTGATTTTCCTGTTCCTCTGGGTAACTCACAAAATTTCAGACCGTCCGGCCAGTGCTTCCACAAGGTCCTTGATCTCTGCCCACCAAGCAGTCTTTCCTCTGCGGTTCTTCATATCTGCGTGTTGCACCATCTCCTGGACCGGCACCCATTCAAGAGCAGACCCTTGTATTGTGATAACTGCAGCACTTTCAGGCGGGGCCTGCTTCACTTTGCCAACTTGTTTCTGTAGGGCATCATGATGTTCTTCAAGGAATGCCATGCATCGCAAAGATAGACGCGCGGCACGTGCGCGATCCATAGGTGATGGGACCCCACCCTGCAAGGTGTGTCCAAGGGAGGCGGAACGAGAATCGAAAAGGTTACCGCCTTCTTCCTTGAACATCTTCGTCACGACATCAGTGGTGTAGACCGTCGACGAGCACTCGTTGCTGGAAGACCATCTCAGCAAGTTCATTATTTGGGTTTAAAAAATAAAACCAACCGAATGACCATACGACCTTCGCTCTTGCCCTTGGCATCTAGCCCATAGCGGATCTTCAGGAATTTAACGTCCTGGCGAAGGGTGTCAAGGTTCATGCCCTGCTCCGGAGTGTAGACAATGCTGGCACCAGTCTGAATAAGCACACTCATCAAATTCAGACTCTCCGGACATCAGTAACAGATTACTCACGGCCAACGCGCCCATGGTGGCAAGGTACCCACACTTGCCACCTTGCGTCTCAACCACAAACACTCGATTCCTACTCGCACTCGCACTCTGTTTGATCGAGTCGCATGCATCAACAAGCGCGTTCAAACTTGTGTCGCTACCCAAGCTGAACTCTGTCATCGGCACGTTATTTGATATCGTAGCCGGGAGATGGGCCATTGGGATGTGGAATGCAGGGTAGTGCTTCCGCCCAGTCTCAAGGATTAGGAGCGCGTTGAATGCCTCAAAACCGCCGATCATCAGGAGTGCGTGGAAATTATGTTCTTGGAAACGTGCAGCCACTGCACCGAGGTCAACATCTGGGAGGGTACGGTTTGTGCCAAGCTCAGAACCGCCACGGGAGGTCCAGGCATCGACACCTAGCCAAGAAAGCTCGTGAATGTTGTCGTCAAGCAGACCGCGGAAGCCATTGTGCACTGCAAGTGGGTGATGACCTTGCTTGGTGCAGTAACGTACTGCAGCTCGGGTGGCCGCATTCATACCGCCAGCTGGGGCGCCCATGCTACGTAGAATGAGTCCACATTCTGTGAGGTATAGTGTACAAGGACGTACTGCATAATTGCAACACGCATTCTCTGCAACAAGATATCAGATCAAGCTTGATGG